TGCTATGAGTTTGTGAGCCTGAAGAAGGTGAAACGTTGTCTCAGTCATGGTTTTGAGTACAAACTTGTATTTCTTGCCAAAAACACGACTCTATGACAATCCTCTGGCAACCTTTCAAGCCTTGGGTGATCACCTCATGCGAGCTGTTGAAACACTTGAATGCAAGATCCTTGAATAGGGTTATAGTATGGTAACCCGCACAGAATACTTATATAGTAGTCTATGTTTACTAAGTAGTGTTCAACACTGTAATCTCACGACTTGGTGTGGCATTCTGTCATTGTTGGAACTCTGATGCCTGTTAAAAGTTCAGGTGGCTATCTTAGGATGTTTCTACAGTTTTTAATCAGTGGAATTCTATCTGTTGTGTTCATTTCATGGGGTTCATCTAGGGGTGGACTGGGACCGGGTCGGGCTTGAGCTTAAGAAATTCAGGCCCGGTACCAGCCTGGGTTTATACCGAGACCGTGTTGGGCTGGACTTTAATAGTACGGGTCGGGCCGCGTTTCAATACGGGACTGGGCAATAAATTAAAAAAATAATGCAATCGGGTCCAGCCCAAAAAACAAGCCCGAAGCCCACCCTTATAGCCACCGGGTCAAGCCTGGCCGGGTCGGGCCTGAACAGTGTCGGGCCGGGCGCAGGTTGGGCCGACCAAATCCATCCCTAGGTTGATCTTTTTGATTTGTTGTGGTTATTACGTTGTATAGTAGCAAACCCGGCTGGAGGTGGAAAGGGTTAAAATGCCTTGCATATCACTAATTACATTCAACAATAAAATAATACTGCATTCATTCCAAATTAGATGAGATGTAAAATTCTTATACTTTGTTAAAAATAAAAAAGTAATGGCGGTTACTTTATATTAATACTCAAAAAAAAATTGTGAAGTTACTTTAAAATGTCCATGATAACCGGAAAATTAAGGTTGAATACGGTTAAAATATTTATAGAATAAAAAAGTAAACGCAAGAAAGTATGTAAAGTACTGAAAAATTAAGGTTGAAAAATGAAAATGGTTGAACTGAGAGAATTTGATGTGTATTTATGCATATACTTATACAGTACTATATTTTATCTAAAATAATACGGAGTAACTAAGATTAAATTATATTCAAAGTTCAAACTACTAGTGTGTCGTCTTTCGGTCTTTCCCGGTTGTGAACATCACATTCTGTGAAGTACAAGAGAGACTATGTACCGATCCTACCTAAACTCAGGTCTGAGTCGAGCTTCATAAAATGGACCACATACATAGTGTTTGTTTATCATATAAATTCACTAAAATTGAATGATTAACTATCACAAAAACGTAATCCTTCAATAAGTCTCCCATTATCACAAAACGACATTGAATGTATTAAAACATTAAATTATTTAAGTAAAACCCGTCAAACAGTTTTATATAGATACATAATTTAGTGGAATCCTCAACAATATATACTATTAATTTCTCTACAAATCAAATCTCGAACTAACTTAAAAAGTGCAAATCACCCCTTATATAAAAGGTTCTGTCCGAGCGTCGCCATTTGGGGTGGTTCCGAGTGGAATTTTTTGAGCATCTTCTTTATTAAGTCTAGTTTATCCATACCAAATTTCAGTTAAAAATTCAACCAATAAGGCAGTCAAATGATTTTCTGAAATATAATGCGTTGTTTAACTGCACAGTTATCTTCAAAAATTCATTTGACTGCCTTCCGATTGAATTTTTTTACTGAAATTTGGTATGGATAAATTAGACTTGATGAAGAAGTTGCTCAAAAAATTTCATCAAAAAAATCCATCGGGAACCGCCCCAAATGGCAACGGCCTTAGAAAATACATAAGTATAATAATAGTAATGTTTAAAAAATTATGGTCCCCTATTTTTTTCAATTTTTTTGGGGAGAGGGCTTGGGCCTCTCCAGTCTAAAATAAGGCACGGGCCTGAGACTATGGTCCTATTAACAAAAGAAGATGCATGAAAGTTGGGTGTGCAAGATAAACATATGATCTTAATAACACACAATTAATAAGAGTTTGTAATCAAGAATTATACTCAAACTTTAGATTTTTATTTTAAATCTATTGAAGATTCTAACCAATGATTTATTTTTGAAGTTTTCTTCTTCTAAATCTAACACTATACATATTTTAGATTAAGAATATGCACTTTAGAGAAATATTGATCTAACACTTTACAAAAAGTACATCAAACTTATAACTTTTTATGATCATGACACCAAGGTTGGAAATAAAAAATATATTTGATGTAGTAAAATTGAGTTAAAATGATGTGTAAGTCTCTTATTTGTTAATAGAAGTTTTATTATCATGACTACTAAAACATTTAATTAATCCAAGTTCACTCGGTGAAAAAGAAAATGAAAGAGAAAAATCTTTTTTAAGGTGCAATAACTTTTTTTTTATTTGTACTCCAATTTGTACAAAAACTATATCAAAATTATTATTTTAGAAAATAAAATTGGATTATAAAGCAGTAATGTGTATGTTTCTTATTAGTTAATAAAAATTCTATAATAACTAATACTAAACATTTAATTTATCCAAGTTCACTCTGAGTTGAGCAGAAGAATTTCCTCTCTCATATGTAGTACTTTTAAGTACTCCTATAAGATAAGCGACTAATAATTGAGCGCGATAATTTTATCTCTCATATGTAGTGTTTTTACTTTTTAGGTATATACTATGTAAGATAATTGGACTAATAATTGAGCGGAGACAATTTCTCTCACATATGTAGTGTATTTAAGTAAAAATAAATTGATTTTTTTATTTGTACTACGATTGTTACAAAACATTTATCACAATTCACAAAAATAATTTAGCACTTTGAAAAAACATAGGTTTTTTAAAGCGTTGTATCTTTTTTTATCTTTACTTTGATTATTACAAAAAATATATAAAAACATACCTCTTTATTCTATTTCATATATAAATATAAAAAAATAACACTTTAAAAACATCCATTTGTTAAAGTGATATAATTTTTTATTTGTACTCCAATTGTTACAAAAAAAACATATCATAATCCACAAATTTCTATTATCATTCATATGTCACCAATTTTTATTATCCACATAAATTCTTAACTGCAGAAGAATTTTATCTCTCATATGTAGTGCTTTTAGGTATAAAAAGATAAACAAACTAATAATTAAGTGGGAGAATTTTCTAACTCATATTTAGTTTTTTAGTTATAAAAAGATAGGTGAGAGAAATTTTTGCTCAATTTTCTAATATTTGAGCGAGATGTTAGATTGTCATTCATGTTTGAGAATTACAATTGATGGTTATTTATGTGATGCCCATAAAAAAGTCAAAGTCAGTTGCTTGATTGAAAGATCTTCTTACGTCATGTAGTAATTACACATGGACAGTTGTATGCAACAATATTTGGATTACAAATATATCCGGATGCAATTGTTGTCGATCACCTAACTTTTATGTGTATATCTTTCTTAATTTTATGATATTATAAAGTTACCGTGCCTAGCGAGAGGTCTCGTGTTCGAATCCCGCTGGGCACACAAGGGTGTGAAACTCAATGGAGTGAGTTTCAGCCCTGATTACTCCAGGTTCCCCCCAGTCCCCCTCCCCTAGACCCCCCTGGAGTAAAAAAAAAGGGATAAGGGTCAGATAGGGCCTCGAACTCGAAAAAAAATGTCAAATAAGGTCATATTCAGGATGCTCTGTCCGGCCGACGCCATTTGGGGCGGTTCCAGATGCCATTTTTTGATGAATTTTTTTTAGCATCTTCCTCATTAAGTCTAGTTTACCCATACCAAATTTCAGCTAAAAATTCAACCGGGAAGGTAGTCAAATGATTTTTTGAAAATAATTGTGAAGTTAAACAACCCCGTACATTTCGGAAAATCATTTGACTACCTTCCCGATTGCATTTTTAGGTGAAATTTGGTATGAGTAAACTAGACTTAATGAGGAAGATGCTCAAAAATTTTCATCAAAAAATTCCATCGGGAACCACCCCAAATGGCGTCGGCCGGACAGAGCATCCTAAATATGACCTTATTTGACATTTTTTTTCGAGTTCGAGGCCCTATGACCCTTATCCCAAAAAAAATGATATACCTATAAAGTTAGACCAATTGTAATTTTAAGTTGAGAGATTTCTTCTCATGTAACGTACAGGTGCAATGATGAGTTCAAGTTAAATGAGTTTAAGTGTATGATGATTGTCATTTTAGTTATTTGTTATTATTATTACTAAAACACAAAGTGTTCTAATTATTTCGAAACAGTTAAAATTGTATGGTATTGCTTAATTATTTATCTATTTGGTAACACTCATATAAGAGTTTGTTGATTAATCTGAAATGATACAATCTTTTAAGTTGGTTTGATACGAGACCTAAACTAATCCAATTAAAACAATCCTATATTTCATTTAATAATTCAAGATTTTGTGTCATTTTAATTTTTCTTTCGGATATCTTCTTTGATCCAAAATCTAAAATAGGCCAATAGTTTAAGGTTTTTCCCTAAATATTACTTCCTCCGTCTCGCTAAGATTGTCTCATTTTTCCTTTTTAGTTCGTCCCACTAAGATTGTATCATAGTAATTTTGGTAAAATCTGTGTGTTTCTAAAACATTGTTACTTTATTAACTCAATATCAACTTCATCGCAAATTATATCGTGCAACCGGCGCACCATGAGGATGGTGCGCCCGGTTGCAAAACGACGGAGTATTGATGAGGCCTGATTTCTTTATTTTTATCCTTTGTTTTTAAAAAATGGTAATAACTTTTTTATTTTTGATCCGATTTTTATAAAATTTATATCAACATTTTTTATTTTTCATGATCTTTCAAATGAGACCAATATTGCTTATGTAATTTTAAGAAATTATCAAACTATTATATTAATGTGTATTGGATTATAAGGAAAACCAAACTAAATTTAATACAGAAAAATAATTGTGTAAATCACATTTTATCTGACCCCATAAATAAACCTACGGTGGGGTAAGTGGGGTCAGATGTACACAGTCTTACCCGTATATTAAAGCATAGAGAGACTGTTTCCGGATGACCCATAGTGAAAATCGCGTTAAAAAATGCATGGACTGATCATACTTCATATCAAAGAAGCGCACACAGTTTATTGAGTCATTTTGCTTTATTCCATCATATTCCCAAGCCAAAAAGTAGTTAGTCTTTGGCTCTATTGAAAATGATGGAAATACTCCGTGGACACATATTACAACATAAATAGTTACCAACATAAATTACTCATCGGATTACATAAATAGGGCTGGTGCAGGTTACCATACCATAACCCTATCCAATGGTCTCGCATTCATGTACTTCAACAGCTCGCACGAGGTGAAAACCCAAGGCTTGAAAGGTTGCCAGAGGATTGTCATCAAGAGTTGTGTGTTTGGCAAGAAATACAAGTTTGTACTGAAAACCACGAAAGAGATAACGTTTCACCTTCTTCAGGCTCACAAACTCATAACATTCTTCGGGCTACAAAAGTGGAGTAACTCATGTGTTACTTTTCATAATCACCAAACATTAAAAATCAACAAATCTTACATAATACTTCATGGGAGTGTGAAGGTTATAATCGTCCAGAATTTCATACAGATTTGATACAAGTAATGTTAAGTCTGCCAAGAAAAACTTGGTTAGATTGAACCACTACTGCATTGCTCAAATAAATAGACATGAATGAAAAGATCAGACAAGGCAAGTTGACATGGTCAATAGATAGGCCTCTCAATTCGTCAGGTTTGGACCAAGAACCACCCGGAACCATCATATGTTTTTTTGCATTGATTATAGGTTACCATCACCATTGTTAAATTACCGAACCCAGATCCAGATGGATATTCAATTGAGACCTGCCTTAGAAGCTGTTCTCTTCACCTAATTTGAATGTTTCTGTTCTTAATTTAGAAGTTGGTCCCAATATAATATCATGAAATAATAGGCATAGAGTCTACTACGTACAATTTTTTATAAACATTAAGACAGATAACGTTTATAATAGGCATAGAGTCTACTACGTACAATTTTTTTTTTTTTTTTATAAACATTAAGACAGATAACAACTCCGCCATGTGATCAATTTTTTTGGTTTCATGCCTGTCCCAAGCCAGGATAAAGGAGGAGGGTGCTGTGGTAGGCGCGTGACGGCCAACAGTATTACCTAGTCACATCACATGACATGAATCGAAATATGAATATCGCTATAGCTAGGTCGTCGCCCGTAAGCGACGCGTCATCCCTCCGCCTGGGGGTGGTGTCAAATATGCAAGGGCGCGCTACACTTCATAGGCCTGGGTGCGGTGATAAGAATGTTAAGGTTGCTAGGTCGTCGCCCGGAAGCGGCGCGTCATCCCATTGCCCGAGGATGATGTCAAATATGCAAGGGCGTGGTGGGGTCCGAGGCGGGGCTAAGAACAGAAGGTGGAGTGCTAGATTGCGCTTTGGGACGTGAAATGTTGGGTCTCTTACAGGCAGATCTTCCGAGGTAGTCGAAGTTATGAGGAGGAGGAATATCGGCATTATGTGTGTGCAAGAAACTAAATGGGTTGGAGAGAAAGCACGTGAGATTAATCCCCGAGGTTTTAAGTTGTGGTATTCGGGGAGAGATAAGACCAGGAATGGGGTAGGCATTATTGTGGCACGTGATTATGTTGAGGATGTGGTAGAAGTCTTCAGGAAGAACGATCGCATCATGAGCATTAAATTGGTGATGAGGGGTGAGATTGTGTCTGTGGTAAGTGCCTATGCACCACAAGTGGGATTGGATGCATCTACAACTCAACAGTTCTGGGAAGATCTTGAAGATGTGGTGCGACGAGTGCCAAGAGGAGAGAAGTTGGTCATAGGAGGCGACCTCAACGGGCATGTAGGCTCGATTCGTGATGGCTTTGAGAGTATTCATGGCGGACATGGTTTTGGCACTAGAAATGAAGCGGGAAAGAACATTTTGGATTTTGCCTCAACGTATGAGTTGGCTATAATGAACACTTGGTTTAGGAAAAGAGACTCTCACCTTGTAACCTATAGAAGTGGAGCTAATAGTACCCAAATTGACTACTTCTTAGTACGTACTACTTGGAGAACTAGCTACACCGATTGTAAGGTTATCCCAGGTGAGAATGTTGTCACTCAGCATAGGATGCTTGTGCTCGACTTTCGAGGTAAGAACCATAGAAGACAAGTTAAGCAACAAGTGGAGCCAAAGATAAAGTGGTGGAGGCTTGAGGGGGATCTTCAACAAAGCTTTACACACAAAATGTTCGGTGAAGATGTATGGCGTATTGATAATGGAACACAGGTGGAGGATGCGTGGTTATCGATGGAGCTGACCATTAACAAAGTGGCAAAGGAGGTACTTGGGGAATCTAAAGGATGTTTGCCACCCAAAAAGGACACGTCTTGGTGGAATGATGAGGTGAAACAAGCCATAAGGAACAAAAGAGATTGCTACAAAAAGTTGGGGATAAGTCGGAGTGATGAGAACATAGAAGCTTACAAGGAGGCTAGAAGACAAGCAAAGAAAGCCGTAAAAGAAGCACAAGGGAAAGTGAACAAGGAGTTGTATGAAAAATTGGACTCTAAGGAAGGAGAACAAGAGATCTATAGACTTGCTCATCTTCGTGATCGCAGGACTCAAGATATCGGAAAAGTTAAGTGTGTGAAGGATGTTGATCAAAGGATATTAATGGAGGACAGAGAGATAAAAGAGAGGTGGAGATCATACTTTGATACATTGTTCAACGGGAACAAAGTGCAAGATATCGATGATTTGACCATACCAGATTGTATGGTAAATCGTGATTTTGTGAGAAGGATCCAACCAACGGAAGTTAAAGAGGCTTTGAGGAAGATGGGGCGGAAGAAAGCAGTGGGTCCAGATGGCATACCGATCGAGGCTTGGAGAAGTTTGGGAGAGAGAGGCATCGGGTGGTTAACAAATTTCTTCAACAAAATTTGGAGAAACAACAAGATGCCAACGAGTTGGAGAAAGAGTACTCTTATTCCCTTATTTAAGAATAAAGGTGATGTACAAGAATGTGCCAACTATCGGGGGATTAAGCTTATGAGTCATACCATGAAACTTTGGGAGCGATTGATTGAGCAAAGACTTCGAAGAACGGTGAAGATCTCAGAGAATCAATTTGGTTTTATGCCTGGTCGCTCAACAACTGAGGCTATTCACCTTCTTCGGCAATTTATGGAGAAGTATAGAGACGCTCACAAGGATTTGCATTTAGTGTTCATTGACCTAGAAAAGGCATATGATAGGGTACCTCGAGAAGTTCTTTGGTGGGCCTTAACTAGAAAAGGCATTTCACGCAAGTATATCAGCATCATCATGGATATGTATGAGGATTGTACTACAAGTGTCCGTACTAGTGTAGGGAGGACTGCGGAGTTCCCTATTACTATCGGAGTGCACCAAGGATCGGCTCTTAGCCCTTTTTTATTTGTCATAGTAATGGATGAACTTACAAAGTCAATTCAAGACGATATACCGTGGTGCATGATGTTTGCCGACGATATTGTATTGATTGATGAGACGCAATCAGGGGTTAAAGCAAAGTTGGAAGTATGGCGACAGACATTGGAGAACAAGGGTTTCAGACTAAGTAGGAGCAAGACAGAGTACATGGAGTGCAAGTTTGGTAGAGGTAGAAGCAGTGGTAATAGCGGAATTACTTTAGATGGTAAGGAGACACCAGTCAGCGATATGTTTCGTTATTTGGGCTCCATAATTCAGAAGGACGGTGAGTTAGATGGAGATGTATCCCATAGAATCAGAACAGGGTGGATGAAGTGGAAGAGTGCGTCAGGATTTCTATGCGATCGAGGTATGCCGACTAGACTGAAGGGTAAATTTTATAGGACAGCAATTAGGCCGGCATTACTGTATGGCACGGAGTGTTGGGCGGTGAAACAATGTCACATTCAAAAGATGAGTGTGGCAGAGATGCGCATGCTGCGTTGGATGTGTGGGCATACTAGAAAGGACCGTGTGAGGAATGAGACAATTAGACAAAGGGTGGGAGTAGCACCTATTGAAGATAAGATGCGGGAGTCACGCCTACGGTGGTTTGGTCATGTGCATAGAAGACCGAGTGATGCACCTGTCAGACGAGTTGAGATGTGTGGAGAAGAGGTAGGGAAGAGAGGGAGAGGAAGGCCCAAACAGACGTGGGTTAGGGGAGTCAGAAGTGATATGCTTCTTCTTGGATTGGATGAGGGTATGGCTTTAGAGAGAGCAAAATGGAGGGCGGGTATTCGTGTTGAGGAGTGATCTTGTATCATCTTTTTTTTTTCTTCTTCTTCTTCTTTTTTTTCCTTTTCTTTTATATCTTTATCCTTATATATAAATATTACTTTATCCTTTTTATTTGATCTTTTATATGTATATTCATCTCTTTTATATTATCTTTTTTTATAATAGCTTATCTTTTTTATCTTTATTTTCTTTCTTTTCCTTTTGGTGATAATGTGATATCATATATCGATTCATGTTAGCCGACCCCAATATCATTTGGGACTAAGGCTTGGATGTTGTTATTAAGACAGATAACGTAAATGTGTGTGTACCACATTTCAAAATTGTGTTCAAATTGGCACATTGGAATAACCATGTTGAATTGAATACTCATAAGTAGGTTCTGTAGCTAGGTTTCTTATAGTGATTTCATTATGATGATTAAATTGATATAGAAATATGTATCATTACATCTTTTAACACAATAAATTTACTGTTCTGGTGAAGATGGGAACATCATAAAAATGAAAACAACCATAATCATCATACATATTGTCAGGCCTATTTGCTAGTCTAAGGGAGTGTTTGCAAACACTACCAAAAAGTACTTTTAAGCTTTTTTATAAAGATAAGCTAAAATGAGTGTTTACAAATACACACTTCAGCTTAATTTAAACACTTTTTAGTCAAAAGTTGAAAGGAGCTATAGGGATGCTTTTTTGTGCTTCTAGATTTTTGAGTAAATAATTAGAACTTTAGGGATCGAAAATTTCAAGTAAACCCAAAATGCCCCTTCTTCTTCCACTTCCGGCTTCCAAACTCTATGAAATTTGACCTGGCGAAGAGGTGGGGTCCATCAAGGCTGCCATCAGGCCATGAATGATATCTGTAATCTCCTTCTCGATCTTCAGGCTCTCAATGAGCAAACGAAGTCTTGGCAGGCAAAAATCATCAAAATGAAACTTGAATCACTCAACCAATCAAACCCATCAAATAATAAAACCCCGATGGAATAGACCAGAATCTTAGTGACGAACGAATTCAGAGAAACTGGTGGATTTGAGGAAGGGGAAGATTGTGGCAGACCACAAAGAAGGTCTGAAGAGGAGCTATTTACGTGATGCTAAAGGGTAGAAGACAAGCAAGGAGATGTGAAGGATAATTTTGTATTTTAACTATATATTACATCAATTATCACTTTTTTACTAAACACTTCAACTTTTACCTTTTAATTAAAATCACTTCTACTCTCAAGCAGTACCCACTTTTACTATAAATCACTTTTCAAATAATCTCTTAAAAAATCACTTTTAAAAAACACAAACAAACGCAAACACTCCCTAATTTGGCTCACTCTCATAAATAAACAAAACAAGTAACATTCCTTTTAAACAAGAAATCAACACTTAGAATTAGAAATTAATAACAACCCATTATGATCATCAACTATTAGAGTTAAATAGCAGATTAGTAGAATAGCCGAATGCAGAATACCAGGAGTCTAGGAACTCCGGATTAAGAAATTTACGTGTTTTTATTTGGATTTGGTTCGTTAACTCAATTATTGGTGGTTGACGATGTTTTAGTTGGATTGAAATATTCTGATCAAGTCTGGTAAGAATTGATTTCGGAAATGTCTAGTCAATGTGTATTATACAGCCGTCAAAGTCTAGTCTGGTCTTTTCAAGTATGGTCTAATGGGAAAGTTCCCGAAATGGGACTAAAAAAGTTCGAAAATTCCAAAATAGGACTGTCATGTTTTTATTCCCAAAATAGGATTAATTACTGCCAAATTTGGAAAATACTGCCATATTTGAAGTCTGGTACTGCCAAAACATGGCAGTAATTAGTCCTATTTTGGGAATAAAAACATGAAAGTCCTATTTTGGAATTTTCAAACTTTTTTAGTCCCATTTTGGGTAATATCTCATGGTCTAATCTATTTAAATCTGGTCTAGTCTTGTATAGGACTGAAACCAGTCCAAATAAAAACATCATAAGTCTTAGAACTATATGCCCATAGGTCATATTTATCCTTCTTATTTTTTCTGTAGCATGGTGGCAGCCATAAATGCGCCATTGTCGCGGGAAACTGTTCCGGCACTGTTATGGTCGCCATGTGCCATGACAGCTGTGCTCCCATCACATTTGAGTATTTGACTCACAAACTAGTTGCAATTTGAAACTATAAGTTTTGTTTTTAGTTTTTTACTTTAAAATTGAAAATATTGTCTATTACCCGTACTTATTTTTAGCAAATTAAAGTCTTTTCTTTATTATAAAGGTCTCGAAATAGTTATGCATATTAGTTAAGATAAAAAATATCATTTTTTTAACTAAGCCCATTTTAAATTTTCTGCCCCTACAACTCAAAACAAACAGAAACACCCCTGTCTAATATAAATCTGTATAACCATGTCGAATAAAAAGGCTAGAGCCTTTTAGACCTGGTTATGAACCAAATGGAAAAAATCCATGTCTAGGAAACATGGTCAGAAAGACTCTACGGGTATAATTGTTTGTGCAAGTACGGGTCTGGACTTGTCAAAGGGTAGGCACATTAGAACTAAAATTGAGATACATACATGGTTAGATTGGTAATCTTGAAGAGCCAATCTGCAAAGTTCAACTGCATTTTCATATTCCTTTCCTCTTTTCTTAAGATCTTCAAGCGGAATTTCTGGCATAGCATCACCAAACCTATCCTAAAATATCAAGGAAAAATGAAATATACAGCTATGAGATTAATAAAATAAAAATTCTTCAAGTGATATACAGCTGTGAGATTAGAATCACAGAACAAGGGAAATGTTTTGCTGTACTTAGAAATATTAGAAAGGCAAATAAGGATGGATAGGCAAATATACCCATTTCTCAAACTGTTCAACCCCATCTTTGAGTAGCACACATTTCTTTATTTCTAAAAGTTCAGGCTCCTTCCGATGATGACAAAGAACCCTGGCACTAAAGCTTTGTAGACGCTTATCATCCATGTTCAGATTTTCAGCACAAAATTCCAACACATAAGTCGCAGTTTGCCAAACAAACCACCAATACCCCCCTTTCATGTTCTTGAACCCATAAGATTCTCCTGGCTAAAGTGGCAGACCAATGAGTAAAAACACAAACATAGAGGAACATTCTAGAGGGAAAAACAATTCCCAGGAAAGTGCATCAACACACAAACCCTCATACATGCTTATCCAGGTAATAAGCAAGAGCCGAGTTGCAGAGTTCAACATAGAGTTCATCCTGGAAATCTTGGGGTAAAATTTCCTTTTCAAATTCCTGAAACACACAAAAAAATATGGGATATCATAATGCTAGTGGTTAGTTCAGTACAGCATAATTATTTTATGAACTAAAACTCATAGATATAAGTTGTATAACGATATCAAAAGTAGTGATGGGTATACTAAAAGCCCGTTTGGTATCCTAGTTTTTCAACTATCCAGCTTCACTTGTCAACCAATAATTAATTACTTTTCTAGATGAATCAGCTCAAGTTTCATATGGAGTACTCTGTATAATTTTTTCTTAATTTTAATAATCAAATACACATGCATCCGTATTTTTAAAAGAAAAGTAACAAAAAAGGAAAGAGTAGCAGAGTTTTTATCCGTTCCAAGGAAAAGTATAGCGGATTTTAAAATACGGAGGAGGTGTTTTATTCATAATTATTTCATAAGAAAATAGGCTCTGAGTGTATTACGTAGTATTTTTAAAAAATGACCCAAATGACTGAAAAGCTTTTGTTCTGAATTTCAAAGCCTTGCTCTTTGATTTCAAAAAACAAATTAAAGAAAAGGAAACACAACAAACGAGTCCAACATTAACTTAATTGATTGCATCACATTTGGATGGAATATGATTGCAATTGTTGAAACAATACTAATGAAAACTCATAAATTAGGTTATTTAGTCGCAGGTTGCATCAACAAATGCTTACCCATTCTTCAGGTTCTTCCTCAAAACTTTCCACCTCACATTGATCACCACCATGATCGAGTTTTGGTTTCTTCAACTCGGGCTCGATTGAGGATGAGCCTGGGGGGGTCGCCATGCAGACACAACGCAAAGTGGATGAGGGTAGGGTTTACTCATACGCAGTATTAATCACCGGTAGAGCCATCCATAGCTTTGGGTTGATGGGCTTTCTTTTTGGGTATTAAATTTTGGCTAATTGTAAATGCAGCATCTATCTTTTGCTAAATACAGCCTCATATTAATTTTTTTTTAATCAAATAATAATATGATTAATTTTACCTATTTGCCATTTTAATTTGAATCTCGTGTGTGTGCTACCAAAATGTTTTGAGGGGCCGTGGATTCCAGGGTTCTCAATTAGAGAAACTCATCTTCTTCTTGCTCGGGAAGGTTTCAATCGGACAACTATTCGGTATTTACATCTACCAGTGCACTTTCCAGAGCGTAAGAATGTTTTTAGTGGCTAAATTGCTGGTGATGTCTTTAAGTCTGGATGATTAGATCTGTTTAAGTCTGATCTGATGTGGTCTGGTCTGGTCTGTTAAACGTTTGATCTATGTGTATTTTATAACTACACGGAAGTCAAGTTTGGTCTGGTCTATTTAAGCCTGATGTGATCTGTGTTGTTTAAGTCTGACTTGGTTTGGTATGATCAGTTTAAGTGTGGTCTAGCCTGATCTTGTCTGACACTAAAAACCGTCCAAGTAAAAACATACAAATTACACTTTGCTCCGTCTTGAACTGGGCTCTCCGTTTTCATTATCTTTTGGGCTTTCCATCTAGTTTTAGCTAAATTGGGTCAGGTTGTGGCCCAAGTTAGTTTCTTTTCTTGTTACTTTTTGAGCCCGTTTGGTAGCACGAAAATCGGCTGTTTTGGCTGATTCTGCTGAAATTTATGAAGTTCTGGATGAAGTGGCTGCTTTGGCTGTTTCTGCTGATTTAAGTAAAAATTATTTTTAAAATATATTTTATTAATAAAATAAAGAAAAAATTATATGTAAAAATAGCTAAAATGGTCATCTACAGTAACTTCAGCCAATACAGCCAGAAAAGTAACTCTAACCTTACTTTTTCTGCTTATTACACAATTCAGCGCGCGAAAGTAAAAGTTACGTGTTTGGTGAAAAAGTTAGCTGATAAGCCTGATAAGCCAAAAAAAGATGTTACCAAACGGCCTCTTTATTTTTATTTGAAAGGTATGTCCTTTTGAAGAGGTTTTGACCGAGTCTTCCTCTTTTTGTGTACATCTTTTATTATCTTAGTAAAATATGGCAAATGTTCTCTGACATTTGTCTCACTAATTTTGATAGTTTGCTTACCGTATTTAAAAAGAGAAAAAAGAAATAGACTAAGGGCTCGTTTGTTATGATGTAAAGTAAACATTTTGCGTGTAAAGTGTGGGGAAGTAAACATTTTACATCGTTTGTTTTGACTATTTAATGTAAACTGTAGGGCACTTTTTTAAAAACATTTTACACTGTACCATGTAAAATATTTTACTTGGGGGCAGGCTAGTAAAGTAGTTTACATCCTTTGATACGGGAGAATAAACGCATCTAATAACAATTCAACCTAGCAGGCGTTTGAAAATTGGATTTTGGGATTTTTGGCCGCAAGCCAATCTTGCCGGCAATAAATTAAACTCTTTTTTTCTCCTACAAATCATCAAATCTCTTGCCTTCTCCATATGCGAGCTCTCTACAGACTACCGTCTACACCCCTTGTTCCTATATAATGGTGATAACTGCATGATTTTAATTTGTGCTTGGTTTTTAATTTATGATTTGCTCATATCGGATTAAAGTCAAGATGCATGCTAGGTTTTAAATTTTTGTGGTTGGGATAAGTACGATTTGTGATTGTGTAAATATTTCATGTTCTTTAATTTTGTAAATTTTACGTGTAAAACTATTTTCCAAAAAAAAAAAACATTATAAAAGTTTGCGTGTAGTTTAAACGGATTACATAGATAACAAACGATGTATTTTTAGTTTACATGCAAACTAATTACAACCCTACATTTTACATGCAATCATTTTGCGTGTAAAGTTTTAATGTGTGAACTACCAAACGGGCCCTAAGTGATTAGAAGTGTGAGGTATATTCCTTTAACCCAAAGGTCCAACACGTTTCTCTTGGATTTCGGATGGAAAGTTTGATGAGTGTATGATGCAAGCAAGTAAGATGAGTCAATAAGAGGGTAGTAAGTGACTGTATCTTATTAAATGATAGTAAGGGTCCGTATACAACACACTTCAACTATTAGCCAAGAGGCCGACCGTCTATCTCAATGCTAAGAGTTAAGATAATTGTTATTTGCTAGGGAGAATAAGTTGTCAACCCTTTATAGTGAATTAAATGACACTATTTATACTACCAAGGAGTAAGTAGTATTGTTGGCGTGGAAGACTATGGATGGCTAGCTTCCCAACCACCAAATCTACGACATTAAATGCGCCTCCTGTCAATATCTTGGTTTCCCGCCAAGGATGCGGATGAGCGTTCTCCGGGTCTCGTGACCTTAGTTATGATGAGTTCAAGGTGCCCCTTCCGTACGGCATATACAAGTTATCCCGCCAAGGATCCAGGAATGTCAGTTGGCCTTTATTGGACCAGCCATTGGAGCCGTTCGTCTTGGAGGGTCCGATGATCTCGTCTGGGAATACTCATAGACCACGCCGATTAGGCCCTGGTGCTTTATCTGCTAAGGGGTGATGGGCCGGCCCACGGTCGGGCCATTAACCCAACACTGTAACACCCCCAAATTTTTCGCCCAAAAGGACATTTAAATACTACCTCCGTCCCCCTAAGTTTGGGACAAGAGAAGTTGGCACGGTTATTAATAAAAGTGGGTTTATGTGGTTGATATTGAAATGATAAAGTAAGAATAAAGTAAGAATGATTTAGAACCACACAAATTTTACCAAATAAGGTATGAGACAATCTTAGTGGGACGGACCGAAAAGGTAATATGGGACAATCATAGCGGGACGGAGGGAGTAATACTTTATTTATTAATTTTATTTAAAAACATCAGAGGTTTGCAACGAAAATCAAGAGGGAAATAGGGCGTTACCGCCACACTCGGTTCTCCCCTAACCGAGTGCACAGTCTAAAACAATATTACTCAAAATAAATTAAACTTCTAAAATAAATGCTCACTAATTAAAATGTTGAAAATGCAATTACAACAATTTACTATCTAGGTTTTCTAACGGAAGCTCTCTCAAAATCAACATCATCATCAAAGCATCACTTGTACAAACCAAAAAATGTTTTTTTGTTCAAACCAAGTACAGAAAGAAAGCACAAAGAAACAAAATTAGCCGGAAATGCTAGTAAGTTACGTTCCACCCAAGCCCGTAAAATAATATAATTTAATATTTTTGAAAAACTTTTGGAGGAAAAATCTCTACAAAACACTTTATGTAAATCATAAGTAAACAACATTTATAAACCATTCTCATAACACAATTCATATGCAAAATAATAATACTTTACATATTTTTAAATCATAATAATTCCAAAGTACCAATATACACAAACCACTAAATATGATCACAATTATTCCACAACATAATCAAACCCAAATATTTATCTCCAAATACTTATAAATGCTTATAGAGAGTATTCAACATAATCAACCAAATCAAATCCAAAAGTACTTATACTCTAAAAATCTGCAAATAATTTAATAACTCAATCCACCTCAATTCCATCCTGTGACACCGCACCCGGATGTACTTGAATTTGAAACTTAAAATGGACTTGAATTCAAAATTGATATGTAATTGAAGCTCCTAGCGAATAAAATCGTGTAACGGAGTGGTATATTTAATTAATGCGTGATTAATTAAATTATTTATCGGGTCCCAAATAATGGAAATGGACTCCCAAATATTTAGATGGGCCATGGAAAGGGCATGGAGTTGACCTGTTGGTCAAACGAGGCCCAATTACCGGTATAGGTAATTTATCAAATGATAGCCCGAAATGAATTTCGGAGACTACTAAATAAATGTTAGGGAGTATACATCTATTCTAAAGACCCATAATTATTAGGAACGCGTGGTATATTTTATTTGGCCCGATAAAATAAAATATAGTCAAAACAGTCCGAGAAATACGACTTTCGGGGCCGATTGTACACACCGGGGCGAAATGGGATGACCTCCCACATGAGTGGGGGCCACCCCACGTTTTTGTGTACTCTAATTGACAAAATGGGAGCTGGAGAAGACATGAAGGTGTGTGGTGCGGACTAGAGGAAGAGGGGATGGATTGAGACAAACCCACACCCCCATGTCCTATCTTACACATTATCATGTGTGATTGAGAAGGACTTCCCCCCACCACCTCATTTCACTCGGCCAGAACAAGGGAAGAGATCTCAAGAAAACCCAAAGCCCTCCAAGTCTCATTCAAGGGAGAAGGAGCTGGGAAAAACCACAAGAAGTAGTTGAGTTCAAGGTAAGAACTCCAAAACTATGGTTTAACTAGTTTATGTTGTATGATTTTTAAGGAAATCATACGATGGATTAAACATGAGTTTTTACACGTTTAAAAGTGTAGAATATTGTTATAAAGTGGTGGTATTTAACTTAGAAGAGTCGTGGAATCGATAGGAGTTGAAACCACCGGAAACCGCCAAGAAGGAGAAGCTGCCTGCGCAGCAGACTGACGAACATCGCCCGGCTTTTGCCAAAGCCGGCCGGCTTTTGTCCAGGCAGACCAGATTTAGCTTTTGATCGGTTTAGAACGGGGATTGATCAAAGGGCTTATCAAAGGCAACTAATCCAGCACTTCATAAGGTGAGGATGGCTGACTATGTTGTTTATAATCTTTGGGTTAATTTCGTAAGATTACCTAAAGTAATTAAAGGTTATTTTCATGGATTATTAATGATTAATAATGCCTAAATGAAAATATTGTTGTCAATGAATAAAGGAGCATAATATACAAATTTAAGGATAAATTGTGTATGATTATGTAATATGAGCATATTGGCTTGATGAAGGGATTAACTATGAATATTATGTTGAAATATAATTTTAACTTCATATAAGGATATATGAGTGATTAAAGATTATATTTTTTGTATATTGATATGAACTTTATTTTCAATGGAAAATTAGTTTGAGAATTGTCTATATGACTATGAACTGAAATGAGATTTTGTTGGAATTTATCCGACTAGTATAATGATACTAGTCGGGGTTTTGGAATGAAATATGTTAGAATTGATCCAAGGTTTGGATTGTAAATTGTTGAACCTTAAGTAGTCTTAAGAGATACTAAGGTGGATAAGTGATGCTAGGGGTAGGCCTTAAGGGATACCCAAGATAAAGTGAATAATAAATTGATCCTAGGAATAGGATTGGCCTACGGGTGTATTCGGTAGTCTTTAAGGATTAGCCGATAGAGTATTGGTAATTAGTAAG